TATCTCAATATCAGGAAACCACATTACACATCTGGCAAATGAGTTCGAAACAAAAGCAAGATTGAGGCAGCTTCCATACGTCACACCTCGCATAAAAGTGAGGATGCCGTCATTCTAGACAGTGAGATCATGACTGTAAGTGGGACTTGCTAATCGGCGTTCTCTTGCATTTTTTCTTGTACTTTCCCATACCAGGTAATGTGCATTAAAGTCTCCTACGATGGTCCATGGAGCCGGACCGCTCACCAACACACTAGCTAACCTTCTCGAGTCCAACTTACTCAAAGGCCATGTGTAAACGCATTAGAGACGCCTATGAGAGAGAACACGAGGTGCTTTTTATCAATTGCCAGGCAAGCACACCGATTGTTATTATGAAGTGCAATTGGATACAGCAAATATGTCAGTCCTCGACGAACATAAACGATGACCTTGCTGCACGGTCTTTTGCTGAGGACATGACAGCTTCGTAACCCGATAGTCTTGAAGGTTTTAACACGTTGGGCTGACAAATTACGACAAGGAACACGGTGACGCGCTCTAACGACCAATAAAGGTTTCAATTGAATGGAGCGGTGGAATCGATGAAAAAGAATATTTATAATTGACGCGATCATATATGCGCTGATGTCCGAATACCTAGTTCCATAAGTTAATCCGTAAATGTATTTTTCTTCGTATAATTTAAGATAAATGAACACTTCGCAAAGAAACACGCCATTATCTTGTTCAGTGTGTGATTGGATTCAGAGCTTATCGCGAAACTGTATAGACAGAAGGCTTCGCCTTTGTAGCAGGTGAACATATACAACACACGGCAGAAGCATTGACTTGCCAAAAAGTACAAAAAAAAACATTACTGAACGACGAACGTTTTTTTTTTCGCAGCTTTATGATTTCTTTGTTTGAGAAAGACAACTAAATATATCGACGCAACGTACTCAAATATTCGCCCACCTTTAATTTAATTGTGAGGGACTCCAGACGCCGGTTTACCGTTATACCTCTTCTGGCGGCTATTGCGTAGAACATAGACGTCGCGGGCAGTCTACGTGAAAAGGCAAGCAAGACATTCAATTAGTTCCAGACGGCACGCTAATTCTGGGCATGGAGAAGCAGACAGAGCGTGAAGCGGAGAGTGTTGGACGCTGAGTGGCCGCAATTACGTGCAGCTCTCCCGGCAGAAACGAAAAGTTAAAAAAGAAAGCCGGCATTCAATGTGGGAGTCCGCGTTCTGACTTAAAATAGTGCATATTTCTATCGTTGTGCCACTATCTTCACTTGCACAAAGCATTCTTTTTACTGCAGCCACTGAAAAGCAACTACATGCGATCTACGAAGTACGGGGCTTGTCACTGACGTGCGCACTGCCATTCGTGGTCTCTCAGCTTCGGTAGTACTGCACAGAACTCATCGGTCAGAACAAGTACATCAGCGAAGCAGTCAGTGAACTACATCATTAGTGGTCGACGCACGAACAGCGGCGTCAAATGACCTGACCACTCTCTTCCTAACAAGTGTTGTTCCGACCGAATAAAGTTGAGCTGCGTTATTACTACGGACATGCTGCACAAAGTAATGAAAAGAACGAGGGTCAAACAGTCACGCAAAGTAGGAACTTTTTGTACCTTTATGTTTACTTGTCTGCTCCAGTCTAACTTGGAGCTATTTAATTTAGGGCAGTACAAAAAAAAAAAAAGCGCCAGCACTGCGCGGGAGGCGCAGCACAGTCACAGTGAAAGCTATAAGAGCTGCCTTTCAGAGCATTTTCTAAACACTATTTGGGTAACTGCTTTAAGCATACTTGCTGGGTACCCACTATGAAATTAAGAATAAAATTTTCTGGGTAGTAGGCCGGCATTCGCTATACCATTCTTCGTCAATTTTCGAAAAAGCGCGGTAGCCCCTGACAGCTTGCAAAGAATTTTGTGCCAATTGTTTATGCAGTGGCTGACAACGATGATGAATTATGACTGAATTGCATATGCGCCACAGTTAATAGGTGATCAAAAACAAGCTTTTGTAATGGGTTGAAGCATTGGACGACCCACTCGTTACGCTATTCGCATTGTGTGACGCCTGGCTGTTTTTTGTTTTTTTTTTTTGCTGTTCTAAAATGCTTTATTACTCATATGAACGCGATTCCTTTCCCAACATCAAGCTTGCCTAAGGCAAGTTTGTGAACAAGTCCCAAACACCGGCGTGGCTCAGTGGTAAAAACTGGGCTGGCACACAGTGGACCCGGGTTCATACCCTACTGTGTTTTTAGTACTAGACGTTTTTTTTTTTTCTTATTTCGTGCGATATTGGTTACGGGTACTGGCAGCGGTGGCGGTGGACAACCACGGCACCGCGCGTGACCCGAGTTGTGATTTCATAACAGCTGTCGGTGTAAAAAGGTAAGCTAAACTCGGCAGAGATTCGAAGCTACCCAAGTAGCGATGGAAGCCATGTTAGAAGACCGGCGAACACAAGAGAGAAATGAGCACACCACAAACGCCGGCCACTTAATCGTGTGCGTTTGTTGCACGCTCAGCCTTTTTTTATAAATAAGTGCCAACCAACTCAGCCCTCTGTTGTTCGCTGGGCGCCATGGTTGGAAAGTCCGTTTGAATTTCAAACACGTGGCGTACACAGAATCATCTAACAGGAGAATTTCAAGCTTGCAACGGTGTAACATCAATAGATGTTGTGTTCGTTTCACCTGTTGACCCCTCCGAGAATTTTCCGCGCCAAAGTTGAGGCAGGGCAGGGGCGAACGTGTACACGCTTACTCGAGAACGCGGCATGTTTCCGAGAGTTCGCGAAGAGCACGCGATCGCGTGCGGCGATATAGACGTGAACGAAAGTTTGCAGGAAGCACAAACGAGGTCAACAGGAGGCCACACGCTTCCTCCGAGCACGAGACGGACACCTACTGCATCACGCACAGGCCGTTATCTGAGACGTTATATACTAAGGTCAGGTCAAACAAACCTTCGTCAGTTATTAGCTACAGAAGTATCCGAAGCACTGTTCATTGCTTACAGTACCCTCACGGATCGAAACGCCGAAGATTACGAATAATTAATGCGCGCACATTCGTTTACATTGTTTGCATTTTCGGTCATGTCAACGTAGTTTTGACTCGAGCATTACCATCTAGTCCGCCATTACATATAGCGGCCAAACTTGCGGTGAAATAAAATTATTAATACGAGCAGTTACTGCATGATGGCGGTCGCTGTAGTAAAAAAAATTAAAAAAAGAACGATACGGCGTTTTATTCCGCGAGTACTTGGCATTGTGTATTGAAACCCACAATAGCAGAGCAGAAACGTTTCCCGTTACACTATGTTCACCGCAAACCGCATCTACGGTGTTGTAAATGCTTCGAGGCAGTAGTAGACCGTCTTCTTAAGATTACGCCCACTTCGTGAATCTTTCGGGTTATTCTGGAACTTACGTCGCCGCTAGCGAAAACGCTAGAATGTTCGATGGCAAGTGTATAAATGCCGACACGCTTCGCCACTTGTCAGTTGGTCGACGGCCGAAGCCCTGCTCACCGCTATCAGTGCCAGCTTCTTATTGTAATCTGACTTTCCTTTAACGTGGCCACAAGTTCGGGCCTAATAAACAGTGTATTATTCGACCTGCAGTCTGATTCCTTCGTTCAGGTAGCGACCCCGTGACAACTGGAGGAGGTGCTTCCCGTCCATGTACCAAACACCTCCTCCAGTCGAGAGCCAAGCCCCAATCATGAGCCAAACATGCAACTTCGACCTGCGAGCAAGCCACCGGCAACAAGGGCTGCCTCCGGAGTACGCGGCTCTACCCGATAAGAGTCGCAAGCCGAAGGACGTCCAAGAAAAGTAGCAGATGCCACCATACAAGTTGGTCTATGGAAGGAGCCCGGCAACGACGCTCGACGCTATGCTTCCAAACGTGGCTGACGAAGAGAACCTCGACGTCACTGCTTACCTTCAGCGTGCGGAAGAAGCTCACCAACTCGCCTGCCTGCGCATCAAGAATCAGCAGGCGACCGACAGCTGTCGTTATAATCTTCGACGAAGAATCGTGCAGTAACATTCCGGGGACCGTCTTTGGGTATGGACACCGCTTCACCGACATGGGCTCAGTGAAAAACTTTTGCGATGGTACTTCCGACCGTACAGAGTAGTTTGACATCTCGAACCACAGGACTACGAGGTTGTTCACGATGGCGTTACAAACTCTCAACGGCGCCGTGCTCGACCTGAAGTCGTCCATGTCGTGCGCCTCAAGCCATTTCATGCACGAACCTGAGGACTGTATTTTGTTATTGTGCTTGTACTTATTGTTTTTCTTTTACTGTACTTTAGTCTTTTGTTGCAGCATTGGGACGATGCTTTTTTCAGAGGGGGGCAGCAATGCCACGTTCCTTCCTTCAAGTTTTGTTATCACCCCGTTACACTATGTTCACCGCAAACCGCGTCTACGGTGTTAAAAAAGCTTCGAAGCAGTAGTAGATCATTTTCTTAAAATTACGCCAATTTCGTGAACCTTTCCGGTTACGTGGCCATAATTTCGGCCCCATTAAACAGTTCATTATTCGACCTGCAGTCTGCTTCCTTCATTCACGTCACGACGCCGTAACAATATATATCGCACGCTCTCTCTCTCGTGTTACTTTAACTATGCGTGTACGTTAGACGTGTGTCTGTGTGATATTATATTTTTCGATATGAGTAAAATCAGATTTTTCCTGACCGGTGGTACTCATTTTTCCGCAGTTTCTTCATATTTTTCCGCCATAACGGTGTTTAGATGATGAATGACAAGCATATCGTAGGTGTTTGATCCATGACAGTACGGGTGTTAGGTACACGGTAAAACCTTTTGAACAGAGAAAAAAGGGGATTATTGTGATGTCCAGATAATTTTACACCACCAGCTTTTATTTAGGTCTTGCACATTACGAGGCCAGGAAGCTACATGAAAGAGAAAGAAAAGGACACCGAGACAGTAGACAGACAAACACCTACCTCTCTAATATTCCTTTATTTACACGTTCACATCAAGCAGGTGCACTCTGATATGTTTATCAGAATTATTGATAAAAAACAGCCACGTTTCGCACACAATTAGTTTGAAATCGCGCACGCTAAGAAACAAAATAACTGCTTCGACAATTCTGGAGCACGCAAACGCAGCGCAGCATAACTACAGGCAGCTTAGCAGCAAAAAGCATCAATGATCGCTGTTTGATACCAGACAGCAGACGAGAAGGGAGAAGGCATGCGCTCACTGCAGCGTGCTTAGAAACAAGTTGTACAGACCATGATTGCCCAAAGCCTGCCTAAATATGCACGCAGGAAATAATAATAACTAGTAATAATAAGGACAGCCTAACTAAGTCTTCCATGCGATGCGTTTTGCCTTCTTTCGTTTGGGATAATCAAAGCATACAAAAATGCACACACGTACCACTTCTAAGACAGAGTTGTATGACTAGTTGTGGTGACCATTTCACTGTATTGCGATCGTGAAAAAGAAAACACAGAGAATAATAAGAGCAGCTCTAACTATAGTGTTGTGCTAGACATTGAACAAACACGCATCCAGTGACGCAGTTACCACAACTATCAATCAAAATTACTAATGAAGAGCGAAATGCGAACTACATCACATCAGTAAGAAACATACTTGAAATACAACTGCGCTTACTGCACGTACGAGTCAATATTAACTAGCAACGCATGCATGACTTTTTTACTAATGATATACTTTGTCCTGGCTCGCTTTGAATTCGCAGTAAACGGTACAACTTCTTGTGAAGGGGACAAGAACAAAAAAAAAACGTCAACGACGAGCACCAACTTTCAACCAAACAACACAATTTTACGCATATGAAAGGAGGCGAATTCGCCATACATTCTGGAAAGCAGAAAATGGTTACCCCAGAGGAGAAAATAAAAGCATCGATAAAAGGTGACTAGCTATTTTCATTACCATCGCTTTTTTCATGCGCCAATATATTTTCCTTCTGCTATAATTATCTTTTTCCTTTACGGAATAGAGTCAGTGTTTTTGCTTGGCTTTTTTCACTTCATTCTCTCGTTTCAAGGAGCTCTGTTTCAAGAGATAGTGCAAACACAGATGCCCAAGAAAAAACAGACTAAAAAGCACCGCGTTCAGACTGTCTATTTGCTACTCTGTGTTTGCGCTCTTTCCTGTAGTAAAGTAGTACCAACAATCTCAAGTTCAAATCTCTTTAGAGCTCTTCACCTTGACCTCTACATAAACTGCATCCTCGTTTTAATTTGTTGCAATAATGAAGGCTGCGAACGAATGCTACAAAATTACTTGAGAAAAAAAGAAATGTCACAATAATTCCTCCTGTAACGCCACAAACAACAGCTAAGCACGTATGACCAGACCACTTGCACTTCCCCTGAAAGCGTATAATCTTTGCAAAATCTTCGCACTCTCTCGAACAAAAAACACCGGCGTTGTGAGGAAAAATACACCACTTAGCGGTGTGCGGCCATCTCCCTTAATGCTTAGTCGTTGGAGAAAATGTACGGCGCATCTAACCACGCCCAAACAGCCCACAGAAGCGGAATGATGAAAGAAACGCGGAGTACTTAAGACTAGTTTTTTTTACAAATAAAGACGTTTTATTACAAGTTTTTTCGTTCACAGAAAGCCTACTTGAGCCTTTTGTGTTTTTTCGCCACTTATTATTTCCCACTCTTTGAAGAGTAGATGAACCGTAACTCTAATCAAGCTAAGCAACCTGCTTTCAGTTTATTGCCTTTCCTCATTCGTTTTTAACGTATCTTTGTCCAGAGTGTTCTACAATAAAACATGAATTCAGAGCAGCTCGCTCATTCATTGCTGTTTCTTTCTCATAAAGTTTTTGCTCGTTTTATTGTAATTTCACTTTATAGACCACCCTGCCAAAAAACTGAACACAGGTTAGGTCATTCAGCGAGTGCAATATTTTTATTCTTTCATTTGATCTCTGTCACCCAGTCGCTCTTTATAAATAAAAAAGTAGGTCGAGGAGACAAAAAATAAGTTCCCTGGCAGTGAATGTGTTTCCTCGACATACCCTTCTATTGCCATCCCTAAGAGATATTTTGAATTTCCTCGTAACGTGAAGATACGGCCACGCCAGTCTTCTGTATCATCAGTTCCCCCTTGCGACGGATAAAGCAAAGTTTAGGACGTGCATGAGGCCACCTAATGTGGTGATCTATCTTCGTCACGTGTATTAACGTGACGTGCAGACAAGATGCACTTGTCAAAGCCATGCTCGCAAGAACTGCCGTTACTAACACCACACAAATTGGGCTAGTTTGTGCAGTTATGTTTAGTGCTATGACCTTATATAACTGTTTATATGTCATTAGTAATATCCAAAGAAGAAGGAAGGCTTTCTGGGATATGATCAGGATTATCTAAATCGCACCAGGGGATTAAACGCAACAGCAAAAGTCATACCACCATAGAGCACACACATCTTTCGTGAGTGGATCTAAATAATTGGAATGTGAAGACGTCTTCTGGACCAACGAACGTTTCCTCAGAGCGAGAGAAGATCAAAGTACCCGCGAGTAAAGTTTTGCTCGTCAGTGAAACGGCTGCGCAGTCGAATTACGATGCAACAGAAAGGAATGTTAAAAGGCAATGAATACTTTTGATCTCTTTGTTGTAAAGGTGGCAACTGATAGCCTCCTGTGCTATCGGTGTGGTTCCCCCCTTCCTGCTATATGTGAACACGAGAACAAAGTACGCTAAAAAGCTGTCAAATTCAGAAAATGTTTTGAGGATGTTCAATGTAGAATGAAGTAATGTGAGCAAAGCTGACAATAAAGAAACGAGTGTAGTTCAAAGGTGATTGCTTACGGTAGTGAGCCACACAAAAACGAAAGGGCAATGCTTAAAAGCATAAAATGCAGGCATATTCTATCCTGCAGTTAATGAAACATTCACGCAGTTAAGCAAAGCTTTTAGCCTTTGCGGCCATGGTGACAAAAGCTCGCCATGGCTTTTAGGGGAAATGGTGCACCTCTAACGTTATTCACTTAAATATCGATCCCGTGCAGCGAATAGCTTATACTTTATTACAACGCAGCTACCTTTATTGGTATACGGTAATGTTGGTACAATAATTTCTCCTGCCATCCCTTCTCTCTATTGTAGTTCACTGATGATGACCCTTACGGGTCGCAGTGGGACTAGCAGATATATACTTCTTCTCAACCGGTTCTGATTCTCAGAAACGGGTCAAGCGAATCTCGTACGATGTGCATCTATATAGTGAGAGCAATCTACTAAATAAGGAGGCATAGAATAGCAACACGTTTTCCATGAATCGCAAAAATTTTTGTGCCATTTATAAGTTCACCCAGCTGTTAGTTCCTTCACGATATTCACTTATTTGAATAATTAAATTCTATTCATATTAACTTAATTTTGTTCCGTTCAGTGAAACACAAAACGGCAACGTTGGTGGTCTACTGCATAGTGTGTTCAAGAGACTGCGGTCTCTCACTCTTTGCACGAAGGGTTCGGGGATGTGAAAATCTATAAATACAATAGTCGCGATACCAAATAAACGTTCGTCTGCTGCATGGGTTTCTTCTACCTAGAAAGACAGAGTTGTACAAATTATCGCCCCTTCTAAATGTGCGAGGTGCGCATAAGTTGTAATACAGGCATCCAGGCAGTTCCGTGAGCCATTCGCGACGCCGAGCCCTACACTTCGGCACACATATACACGAGCAAAATAAAGAAAATATTGCCACTAAAAAAAAGAACAACTATCATTTAAAAGGTGCTATTATCAATATAGAATAAAAAAAAAACACTACATATAGTACGCCCTTTTGTGTCCGTTATACTTTCACGTGTGCACTGTGCTGATAGTGAAAATGTGCGAGAGTGATTTGTGTGAGTGAAAGTGGCGCAATGACTAGTGAGTAAGTCTGCCACATTTTACGAGGTGATACCATACTTTTCGCCGGAAACGTCATAACGGACGCCAGGCCCTTCAAAACTGTAACATGAATGGGCATCGTGAAACGTGTGCAACATCTGAGAAATAACGGTGAGAACATATAAAATACCTGAAAAATTGCAATGCTAGGATAAGAAGGAAACAGGAAACATAAGTAGATTTACTGTAGTGCAACAAAGTATTTTTATAAAATATGTAGTGCTGCCATAGAAATTCTCACAAGCATTAACAACACGTTCACAGCTCTTTACATCTAAACAGCCTAGATGGCGCCTATTTCTCGGCGCTATCGATGGTGAAGTCCATTGAAATCCTTAATAAAGAGAAGAAAATTCACTGCATTCGCAGCGGTTGAAGTTGACTAAGCAGTGACTGCTATTATGATTACCTTACACGCTTTTATGTGCCAAAAAGCACAATACGGTTCGAGCACGGAACAGCCCCCCCCCCCCCCCCGCCTCTCACTAAATAGAATAGGTATGGAGATAGCAAGGCTTCCCCATACCTTTTCTTAGTAGGATCTGACTTTCCTTTAGCGCAGGGGGTTGAGCATGGTTAAGCAAGTTTTTAAAAATGACGACCGAACAGCTCTGATACTGCTTTCCAAGAAATTTCTACCTCACACCCCATTGACATGCTTATGCCTGCAGTAGGGGGCAGCAATGCCACGTTCTCCCGTATGTTTCAGTATCAGCCGCGGTAAGTCTTTGTTATAGCATGCAACGAGAATATTTTCCCTGCACACTCGTTCATAGCCCCTCTTTCAAAAATCCCGTCTTTACACAGCTCGTGCTTTGAGAACAACCACAACGGGAACTGCATTCTTTTAATTCGCCTTTCTACCACGACATTGCCATTCTACATTGAAGAACCTACGTGTTCTAGCATGTTGACGCGCAAAGCATAATTACCGACGATAACCTGGCCTGTTTTTATTTTGCTCGGGCAAGCAATGCCCCCTGAGTCAACAGCCAAAACGAGTTGCTATGACCTCCGCGTCAGTGTGTTCTGCAAGCACTCGCGTGCTATAGAGCATGAATAAGCAGGCAGTCACCGAAGTGCACTTAGTTGAACATGTTTCAGTATGTTCAGGCGAGAACATTCATCACGAGAAAGTACGAATGTATCGTAAAATATAGACATATTCTTTACAAATATAAAAATTTTTAGTAAAACATAAATATATAATGAGAAGATATAAACATATCGTAAGTAAACTGCAAGCTATTTAAGATATTCGTCGACTTGCAAGCTCTTACGTGTCCCAATGATGGAGTCTATACAGTAACATATAAAAGTAAAAAAAGCATGTGCATAAGCAAGAATTACAGCTAACTTTAGAAAGAAAAAATAATGATAAGTGGTCTTATTTATACGCAGAGTTGTGGACCAAATATATGGAAGTCGAGTTCCACAACACAGCCCTTATTGGTAGCTCAGGTTGTCAGTAACCTCGAGCTTACCAATAGACATTTTTCTAACTTAGCACACGGTGCCTAGAACGGCTGGTAACAGCGCCTTCAACATTTATATACTTTAATGCCCGTGGAGCACCGCTAAAGGGAAGCGCGCTTTGAATTGTCACACCACTGACCCGAGAGGCAAAATTCACCTGGGGAAAAGTATAGTAACTTCGGGAACGTCATCAAAGCGTAACAGAGTTGTGTAAAGACGTGCCTACTTCCCCCTGTCTCATTTTGATTTGCCCCTTCCTTTGACAAGGACATGACAATGACAGTATCATAGTACGACACTTCATGTCAAACAGTGTTATTCCACTCCGAGGAGACCGACACTTCTTTTTCCGGAGTTTTCCGGAGTTTTCCAATCTGGCCTAGCGGCACTGTTTCGATATATCTGTCTATTCGTTCAGCAAGCCTATAAAGATCAGACTAGTTTGTAGTGATTCATAGCTTCTGAAAGTGCAGAAAACATAATACCGCGCAAGCACTCGTCGTTTGTTATACTTTACTGGTACAGTGTTTCTTTTTCAGCGCTTTCTGAAGCTACAAAATTATTCAACACCCCAAAACACGTTCTCTGTGTGGCAAATGTGCCAACTTTAAAAAAAAAATATCACTACATGTTCGATGACGCATGAGTCTTCTAGATTGCAACCGTACCGATAGAGTACCTTTCTTATTTTTGAATGGCACAGCACGTATCGACTTCCGGCAGCCTATCACTCGAACACAGAAAATCCTTTGATTAACGTAGTTGGTAAAGGAAACAAATGAAGGAAAACAAGTTAACGAAACCTGCAACGCGTGTACCACACGTAACAGCGGCGCGGTGCCACGTGCGAAAATCGCCGTGAAGGTCGCGCAACGAAATAACCGAGAAATCATGCGTGCGGCGCGAGCGAACTTTGCGGTATATGCAACGAAGGCTCATTGTGACAAAGGCCGCAGGAGAATCGCCGCCAAGAGGCCGGACAGGAGTACAGCCAACACCGGCGCGCTCTCTCGCGAGGAGGCGCTGGTGAGTCTGCTCTCCTGGGGCACGCCCACTTGTATGGGCTCCTTGGAAGTCTTGTACGGCGGGCTAATCTCGATCTGGCCAGCTGCGAGTGAGAGGCAAGAAAGAAGGAGAGAAAATCGTATCCGCGACAGAAATACGTCCGTGGAGTCATAGTGTACCCCGGCTAAAACACCATTGTGTTCAAAAGATGAGAGCACTTCCACTGTTGCGAAGAATGAAGGCAGATAAGCTCAAATACAATGATAGGTCTGTTATATAGTGAGTATTGTTATACTGAAGTGAACTGAAGTCAAGTTTATTGTATTTTTTTCCTGACAGAAAGAGGAATAAGAAATAAATGTCGTATTGCCTGACAGGGGAGGGGCTCTTACTCGAAAGCGCATTCGGAATGCATGTACACGATATCGACGCAAGTGCAACCATACGCCATCCAAGCAACTAAACGTGCATGTACGTAACTTTTATTGCAAATAGATCAAGAACAATAGACATCACAAGAACACTTCTAGAAAATATAAAAAAAACATGTTACTTACACTTCCTGAATGTATAGCGTATTTGCCCAACTCTAATACATCCTCGATTCCAACACGCACCTAACTTATATGACCCCCGCCCCCTCCCTTCCCAAAAAAATACAGCTATTGGGTAGTTTAAGCATCTGTAACCGAATCTAACGTGCATGCGGCTATAAGGTCTGTTTTTCTTTTGTTGTTATTGTTCAAAAAAAGCTGTGCTTTGGAGTTGGTTAAATACGATACTTAAATGCAATAAATTACCACTTGGTTGCTTGGCTGCTCACCCCCAGGTCACGGGGTCAAATCCCGGCTGCGGCGGTTGCCTTTTTGATGGAGGCGAAAAACCCTGTAGGCCCGTGTGCTCAGATTTGGGTGCACAATAAATAACACCAAGTGGTGTAAATTTTTGGAGCTCTCCACTACGGCGTCTCTCATAATCATATGGTGGTTTGGGGCATTAAATTTAACATATCAATCAAACAAAATTAGTGGCAGTAATTGTAGAAATTAACGAAATCAACTGTTTAATCTGTAGAAATAAGCAGTCTAGTCAAATGGGCGAATTGAAGTTGTTTCTGCGTATAATCCATAGCCACTTTCAAATTTATGAAATGCGGCCACTGCGAATCACCGCGGAGCGATGAAGTCTGGCTAACTTAGAAGGCGAAACCAAAATCGACGCACCAAACAGGGCATCTATACTTTCCCTTTGAAAACACCCTCAATGACGACGCTGCTCCGTTCGCATCGGGAGAAGAAGATAAGCGACCATCGATAAGCGGCAATGCGGCAGGAAAGCACTGCCACCACGAAGGAAACAAAGCTCAGTAGAGGCCGTCGAGCATGCCGGCGTCACGATGACGTCTGTATTACCACTCGTATGACCGCGTTGTTGATAGCTGGCTGGGGTTCTGAACGTGCATTTTTATGCATATGTTGCACTACAAAGATCGCCCAATGTGTGAGAAGGCTACAGTGAGCGTTGGTCTTCACTGCTGTGAGTTTAGTTTATTCGCTTGAGGTGGAATGCCGTCACGACCACTTCTCCGAAAAGAGCCTGCGCCGCAGCTTCACTGGTTTCCTTCGGCACTGTGCTGTTGCATGACTCAGCGAAGGAAGCCTAGAGTTCCAAGACGAGAGCGGCAGTGTCTACGGCTCTTAAAGAGGCCCTGCAACACTTTTTGAGCATGGTCAGAAAACGCTGCCGATCGATAGTAGAGGCTCCTAGCAACGCGCGAGCGAACTATTAGAGCACAACACACGGCCTGGAATTCACAATAAATTACCAAAGTCAGCTAAAAATTGCTTTCTCTTCTCTCGACAAATGACGGAATATGCCCAAAAATCTTACGTGAATTACCAATCTATCAGCCATTGGCCGATTTGAAAACAGCACGCTCGCTCGTTACAGAGATCGCCGTGGGAGGCCGCAACTAGTCCACGCGTGCGTGCGCAATCACACCGACAAAAGCGGTGCATTCGAAGAAATAAAAAGAAAAAAAGTACTCAAGGCCATGAGGCGTGTGTGCCATCTTTCTGTGGCCCTGCCATCCCTCCCTGATTAGCTTCCAGTGCTTTCGTCGGGACGAGAGAATAGAGACATCAATTGCAGCATGCAACAAACCTTTCTAGCTCCACTCGCACTGGATGGATTCTTAAAATTCTTGCGGTGTCGATTGCATGAGACAATAAGCTTTTCCAGTGAATTCCTTCCATGGTTGCTCAAAAAAGCATTTCAGGGCCCCTTTAATGCGGGAGGCAGCGGTGAGGCATTCTCGTGTACGATGGTCACAACTATCGGAAAGCAGTACGTGTCCCACTGTTCTCACCGGAGCTTGCCGAGTAAAAATTTTGATATGCCTGACAAAGTAAGCTGATTTATTATTCGAATTATCACTTTTGTTTATGTTTAGCGTGTAGTAATCTCAGCTATGGCAAAGCTTTTTTTTTTTTTTTCGATATAGTTGCAGTCCGCCGACCCGCACTGCTGCGATCAATAATTGTGCGCACGTATCGCGACACACATGGGCAAAGATTAATTTGGAGGTGCTTCATCTGACTAAATAATAAGGCCAATGAAATAGCGACTCACTCATATGTTATGTTTCATACCCCGATCCCCGTATCTGCAGGAGAAAACAGCCTGTCGTGGCGATTGTCCGGCCGATTAGTGCCGTTGCTCTCTTGCATTCAGCGGATTCAACACAAAGTGCAAAGATGCAGGTTTAGTGTATATTCACAATATGAGCCGTAATGAAGCTGTGAATAGTACACAGGCATTCGGCAAGCGAGTATCGCCGCACGTATCACCGCTCATAACCAGCAAAAAAGTTTCGCTTTTCCAGCTCGTCTATCGCCTGGCGGGTCCGAAATCGGTGGTGCGGCTAGTCTCCCCTTCTCTAATGCCTGTTGCGCATGCGCAAGCCGCCATAGCGTACCCAACAATGCGAGGATAAGTCATCTACCCTTCGCTACTTCTGGCTTTACGAAATGTGACGTAATAACCTCTCACTATATAGACGTAAGACTCTGGAGTTTTGTGGACACGCAGCCCCACATGTCGACGTAGTTTTGGGTAATGCAAAGTTCGGCTCCGTTGCGCAGTTCGCCGCGCAACCAGATACAACTATAGTGTACGAAACAACAATCGAACTAAATATTAGGTGTCTTTCCGAAATCAACACTTAAAGAAAGTGCTACGAAATTGTCTCTGCTAGTCGGACGCGTCCCCAAACCACCGTGAAGTGCTTGCTGGTTTATTCTCCAGAACGACAGTGAAAACAAGATCAGACGCAACAGCTCCGCCTTCTACGAAAAAAGACCCGAGTCGACGCTACTGCTGCGTAGTGAATTACTACGGACGTAAGGGACTCAAGTTTTATTGACTTCCGCAGATTTCGTGAAGCGTAACGGCGAAAGCAGTGGATATGGGTCATTGCGAACGTGTTGGGTGAGCGAATTACTCGCGTTCTCCACAGCCGTTCACATGAGAAAGTGTGATAATGTAGGTCTCCTGTCATTGTTTTGAGTAGGTTTGAAGGATAACCGTGGTAACTTTGATTATGAAGCGCGCTGTGCAGCTGTAGACATGCGACGCACACGATCAACATCGCACCACCGATAATCTGGAATTTCACAGCATTGCGCCTCAGGTGTTTGAAGGCTCTAAGTTCTGAATTCAACTAGAAAATGCGAACACGTATGTCATACAGGTAAATCACAAAATGATCGCGACCACAATCAGTTTTTTTTTTCCTTGCCGTTGGTCTCCGCGATCGCCAGAGCTAAGCCTTTCGTTCCACACTGAGAATGCGGAGACGCATGTATCCCCATTTGCAGTATAAACAAAGGAATGACAACCGTTAACAGAACATTCTAACATGCGTATTAAAACAGTTCAACACACAGGAAGCTAGAGATTGATGGAGAATGCAACCGCAAAGGCGAAAGTCAATAGGGCTATTCGTGCCGGATAAAGAGAGCTTCGTACCATTGACCGTAAGATAAATTGCTCGTGCATGCACTTCATTGCTTAGGCATAATGTGTGTGAGCAAGTTTCACGAATTAGGGCGTTACAGAACGAACGTCAGAGTGCTTGCCTCGAACTCGATGTCATGTGATCCTTGTTTGCATTTAAAGTGCCAGTTGCTGTATACGCCGAAATAACTGAGAGATCTTTCGAATTGCACCCGCATTTTCTTTTGATGAGCTTCCTACTTTTCTGAAGTGAGGTTGGATTGAAGCAAGAAGTCTATCAGGCCCTTGGTTTTCAGAAAGCCGCGCTTCAAGACCAACAAAAGAGGAGGGCCTATGCACGTTCGTTTGCGGACAGCTCACTTCGCCTTACCCATTTATGGCACGCGCGTCGATGGGGGCACTGGTGGCAGCGTTTTTTGCAGTGTTACCCGGGCAGAGTTTGAAGTCTATTCCTACCGCCATGGTTGCCACAAAATGAAGTACGTTGATTGACGGTATAGACAACGCCGAGGTCAACAGTGTCGTCACTACGGATGTTTTCGAAATTGCGATATTTAGAGCATCAGTTTCGGGTTGGCCTGCTAAATTAGACAGATTTAAATTGCTTCGCGGTGATTTTCAGTGGGTGCAAATCAGAAATTTCAAACTGGCGATGAAATTTACCAATTAGGCTCAACCATTTATTTCCTCTGGTTAAAGGTTAGTTGTGTTAATTTCTATAATCAATGTCATAATGAATGTTAGTACTCATGTGAAGATGCCTTCTGTCACTGTGAAAGGAACACAGTGGGTAGCACTCAGATACCTTTCTGTAAGTTTTCAATAATGGTGGACAAATTATTTGAAACACCCTGTATCCCTGTATTCACCCTGTAACCACTAGCGCATAAGTGAATATAAATTAGATTATTTGACTGAACAAAAAAATATAGAAAGTGAAAGATCTCGGCATTTCTTTAGCACATCAATACCTTCTCAACGGTGGTCTCAAAATGAAGCACTGTGACGCATAAAAAATTCGATGTTTCCAACGTACAAAAATGACATGACGTTCCTGTCTCATGCAAGAGATCTTGCTTTGAGGCTTATTTTCCAGCGTCATTGTTCCTGCAGTTGTGCTTCACTTTAAGTGGTGCCCATATTATTGACACAAGAACGCTGGTGCAGTCGAGATAATTGGCTCACTGAAAATTGTCAGTCATCACTTGGTTCGTGGAGTAGCAAGTCAGGTGAAAAACCAGAAAATTTCTCCCGCTCTTCGTTAAAATAATTCTCTCTTGCTCTCTGTTATACTTTTTTGTTCGCGCTTGGTGAGAACCTAGGCGTAAACGAATTCGCTGTGAAGAAAAACGAAGGCAGATGGAGGAACAGGGCAATGTCAGTATCTGTGATCCACTACATCCTATCCCGCCGGGCATATCACCCCGTTCTACCCAATATATTTCCTGTTAAACATCATGCTAAATATTTCCACCCAGACAACAGAAAGCATCCATAATTCTTCGCAGGCCTCCATATCAGTGTTCTTCAATAAATTCGGGTGAAGAATAAACCTTTTATGCTATACTGTAACCCAGAAATGCATTATGAGCAGAAAGGAATGAATTACACTCAATTTTTTTCACACTGCTTGCCATTCTAATACAGGAATCAAGCGAGAAAGATGCATCAACTTACCCACTTATGTGTCATCGAGACACGATCATGCACTGCAAATGGACGAATTTTGTTTCAGAGGCGATATCTTTCTCTCTCTCTCTCTATCTTTCTCTGTGTGTGTGTGTGTGTGTGTGTGCGTGTGTGTGTTTAAAAGTACTCATGGAGATACGAGAAAATGCTTACTCAAGGAATTGCCACGAGCATGCCCACAAGGCGATCTTCTGCAGAAGTGGCACATGGTGTGTGAAGACAAAGCTACTGGGTCAAGTGAATGAACGTATTGATCCCTCGAGCCTCAACGTACACACTCAGCCGCAAGTAGTGTTTTGCGGTTCATGGGTCTAGTGGCGAAGAAATAGCATGATATAGGAACACCGAGCAGAGCTCTAGCTGGTATGTATCAATGTTGAAAGCACTACGGACACAAACACTGACATAAGAGGAGTCAAAACGCTAATGCCGATTGCGACACTTGCCAACAAAAACTTTTCAACACGGAAAGACGTCGCACACATAGAAGAATATAGAATAGGGTAACTAGGGGTACGACTGAAAAAAACGATTGCATTTCAAGCTCCAGAAACTAATAGATCTTGATTATGTCGGGTCAGCATGTTCGCATGCGAAATCGTCAAATACCGTTTCTGTATACCGTTAACTGTCAGCAAAAAACGGTGGTACTTTCTCTGGACAAAGACTTTTTTTCTCGCTCTCTATCTTCTGTGTACTCACATGTGAGGTTGGCTTGACCCCAGAAGTACACCTGGTACAGCGGGACAGACAGGTCGAAGCCGGCCACTCGAACGGGAGTCTGGAATCGGCACCAGACACGCTCGCCATCTTGTTCGAATAAGGTGTTCTCCAAAACCTGGGAAAATCGTACGGGGATGCTGCTGATGCACTGTTTCCGTCGAAGGAGTGCACAAGAAAATTACCAACATGGCACTTCGTATACGACATATACGCAATCGTAAAAATTTGCGTCAACACCTTCGCGAAATAGCGTGCGTGTCAACACGAGGACTGCTGTTGTACGTTATCATGACTAAAGAAAACCTGTTAACAGAGACGTGTTGTCGCGATTGCCATAACTCCATGGCGCTGTCTACATTGAATGCTTTAATCAATGTAGGAAGGAATTAATGAAGTGATCTCATGACCCACCTACCCCTTGTTAGTACGCAGGTAAATTTTACAGCTTAGCTTTGATAAAGTATCGGGTGAATGGAAAATATCCCTCCGTCTCTATGGGCGTTCCGTGGACCATGCGTAAACAGGCATATGCCAGCACACAAGTCAAGCCTTAAAGACGTATAAAAAAAATGTAACGCGTATCTGCGTGTTTAAAAGCAAATGTCGTCGACAGACGATAGTATACTGCCAGCCACGCAGGAATTTATGTTTTACCTTGCCTCAGACAGCACCTCATTTAAGCTGAATCTGCCGCATCTGGCTCACATGGATAAAAAATTGGGAGACCCTAAAGCTTCGCCTTTAAGAGTTGAACGCGATAGCGAAATCCAGCCTCTAGGATACCCTTTAATCACTAAGTGCATACTTATTCATATGTTTTGTTACATACACGCACACGCACACAAACACGCACACAGTAGATTGTACCAGCGCGTGCTATTATCGCCCAATGGGCTCGTTTTTGTCGTGACACCTATCGAACAAAATGCGTCAAAGGGGCCCTAAAAGACTTTTTTAAGTAAACATGGAATGAATTCACTAGTAGAGCTTATTGCGTCACGAATTTAATGCCGCAAAAATTTTGAAGATCCGTCCAGTGCCAGTGGAGTTACAAAGGTTGTCGCATGCTGCAATTGCATTATCTCTTCTCTCGTCCCGACAAAAGCACTGGAAGCTAAGCAGGGATAGGTGGCAGTGCAAAGAAACTACCGTGCCTCGTGACCTTGAGCACTTTTTCTTCTTCGAATGCGCGGCTTTCTCAGTCTGATCGCGCGTGCAGGCGTGGACAAGTAGCGGCCTCCCGCGGCTATCCCAGTAACTTGATTTTTCAGTCACAGACGCACAGACGATTTTTCGCTCACAACTACTGGGGCCAACGCCAGCGGCGGGTTTTGCGTGACACGAGCTCCTTAATGCTATCGTGTTGAAATAGAGGAGGTGTTGCGTGAGATATGGGCGCCATCTGGCAGTGCCGTCGGGAAACATGAGCTTTTGCAGAAACCAGGGCCTATGCCAGGTGGCGGCACCTTAGCGTCGGCAGCGCACTTTTTCATGCACAGCGTCGCATTTTCAGGGCAGTATAAGAAACACTATAGGGTCATTAGATTTACGTATCTATATATTTCTAGTAAAGGAACACACAAGCTTATGCTTAATTAGGTATTGATATTGCGCCTCATATATGCGTAATATTTGCTTTGCGATCAACGATCTTTCCAAGTATGAACGCAACCACCTGTTCAAGATGGCTGGACGTCGAGCAAGTACTTAAATTTTGGCCAGGTGGCTGAATCGTGTGACAGAGAGACAAAGACGCAGATCAAATCTTTTGCGTTCGAGTATCCCAAGAAAGACTAATCTTTGATACAGTTCAACATTGAATAGCGGTAATAAATGTATCTCACCCGGTTCGTCTCCATGGGCATGCTCTTTTCATCCGCAAGAGTGAAGTGCCGCACTTCCGCCAGCTTTTCAGTCCGGGTGCACGCGAAGATGCTGGCCCCCTTGAGCTGCGTGCAAACGTAGAAACATACGCTTACCAGTTCGGCATACGCTTATGCCTTGTAGAATGCGTCACGCTCAGTGTTTTGGCCTGCTAGCCATTTTGGTAGTGAAAAAGCCCGCGCTTCTTTCCTATGCATTTGCGATAGATAGGACAAAGCACTACTTCGGACGAGAAGAACAATGGACGAGTACACCTTTATTTTATTTTTTTCAGTTGAAAGCCATTCTTTCTGTGGCAATATATTCTTACGGTGCCTGAATACACGTTGTTCTATAGTCTAAAACAAAAACAACTATTGGCTAACAACTAAAAGTCGATTGTTAACGTTCCTATGCTCCTTAACTTTTCTGTATTGAAGTAACGTGGGTAGCATTCAAAAAATGTAACAGTACTAAGCGTTAATAAAGCTGTCTCCACCACAGAACGCGAAACACCTAACATTCAGGCAGATGCTAAAATGGCCGATAGCCACGTTCTTCAAACTGGTCAGTCTGAATCACGAGCACGCTCGTACGATGTGCATACAGCACAACCGCGACGAGCAACTCACGCTTTCGGAGTCGTTGGTGAAGCCTATCGCCAGGTACCGACCGGCCATGGACGCGACACCACCCATGGTCACCTCCAGCGTCCGGTTGTCGGCGCTGAGGGAGTACGTGACGGTCAGGTCGCACCGGCTGGCCTTGTCACACTTAGTGCGTGTGCGCGAAAGCGTCACACAGCTCTTCGTCTGGCCGCAGCCCTCCATGGACACAGCTGCGAGAGCCCAGACGAGCTTTGTCAAGATTTCTCGCTTGTGTAAGTAAAAAATATTAAGAGTATTCGAGCACACACAGCCACTCTTTCCATCAAGCACACAGATGACCAGGTTGGGCCAACCGACCTACGAAGCATCTCACTCAGACTCACACAGCTGAGGCTTGACTGCGAGTATGGTGAATGTGGCTTAGTTTGATATTGGAGATCTCTACTGCCAAATATAAATTCAAGTTAGTCTACGTCCAAGCGCGTCTGAGAGAGTACAATGTTGGTGCGTCGAGTGGGCCTGATTGAGCACAATTCCGCTGAGTGTGACTCCAAATAACCAAGGCTGGGCCAAATTTTCGTAAGTCTGAGTAATAGTGATCTGAGAGAGAAATGTTCTTTGCGAGCATGCCTGGCTCACTCACATTTACTCCCGTGACCTAAGAAACACTATAGTCTGTGGGAATAAATCAATACAGCTTTACAAATGAGGGTATCAGCGACGAAATGTTATTATGTTATAAAAAATTTACGTGACACCAAACAAAGGTTTGCTAACAACTATTGACACCTGGTTCCCATTCAGATATAAAGCTACAACTAGGCAAAACGAAATATTATGCAGATGTACTGCATGCTCCAATCTGGATCGCCATCAATTAAAATGACACTTCATAAATTCATAAGGCTTGACTACAGAAGAGCTATCAACCATCGGCCATGTTAGAAATGACACTTGAGCGTTCTGGTACAAATTGACTTGTGGCATACCTAATTAGCGCAAAAAAGGTACAAAAAACAAGGGGAAAGGAAGACACAGGACATGGCATAAGGGCCACATCCTATTTGTTGTTTTCCTTCATTTGGCGCTAATTAGTTTTGTGTAATGTCAACAATTTGTCATTAGGCTGCTACACTTTAGGGCATTAAGTATAATAATGTTAACGAAACTATTGCCCTGAATCAAGGCTCGTTATCATGTAATCACTTACGTTCTAATAAAATATACCAATAGTTGTGCAGTACCCACGCTTTCAAACACTAAAGTCATTCGTAAAGACACGAGCAGCAGTTTACGTCGCTGTAATGTGCTAAAACTTTCTCCCCTGCGTTTTCATTTGAACTAATAAAAGCTGAGCTTCTTGGTATTGTGAAATAAAATATATGGTTTATGTTCTCAGAGCTGATCAGCGGAATTAGTTTATTCGAAGCGGCGACACAATAAAAAAGTAAGGCTGATCGAAAAACATATCGGGCTCAATTTAGTGGAGCGATGTCTGTGAACCGAAAAAATATTTTGTCCTGTGTGTCATATGTGTGTGCTTGTATTCTTTTTTCTTCTTTACTTGTTTTATCTATATCTGCCTATCTCTCTTCTTTTCGACCCTTATTTCCCCGCCCCTGTACAGGGTAGCAAACCGTTTTTCTACCAGGCTCACTTCCCTGGCTTTTCCTTCAACCTATTTCTCTCTCTCCCTAAGGCAATATTTATTTATAAGAACAGAGATTTTCTTCTTAAAGACTACGTAAGACTTCCCAGAGCTTCAGTTTCGCTAGTGTGGCTCAAATATACATATAAGTCTCACAGCATCACGTTAGTGCCACGCTCAGGAGGCTCCACTACGCTTCGATAAACTACATTTTCCATCGACATATCTCTATGCTAAATACACACACATCGGACATTCTGATGCGAATAGTACGCTAATCCTAAGTAGGACATATTTGCAATCATCCGACTTATCTCGCGTTTTAAGATGACGAAATGATGAAGAGAAAACGAAGCAACATTCGAATGCGTTTGTGCTGCGTGCAAGTGAACGACAATTGCGCCTCATCTGCACGACAAAGAAATCAATCAACAATTATACTAACGGAATTCGTCCACCCTAAAGTCGCTGTTGATCTCGATGTTGTACCAGTACTCGTTGTTCACCACGAACGTGCCCCTGCAGATTAAAACAGAGAAAGAGAGAAAGAAAAAAAGTTTAATACGACTCGTTTTTGACGGGAAAGTTGAAAGAAAACCGATCTGTAGTGGTGACATGATATGAAGAGGCAAACTAATTTTTTTTTCGTATTCAGGCTATAGTGATGAGTCTTATGACAACGACAAAAATCATACGCTCCCTCATGCCTTTGCCAAAGGCAACTGGAAGGCAAAGGCAAGCTTATCTTTTATCTTCTAAGTTTATCGACCCAGCCCGAAAGCTTCCCGCACTGCCTCCGGGATCAACCCGCTTGTTACAAAGCGGCGTTCTCATATGGCGTCACGATGACTTCACAAGTTTTGACAGCCTGTAAATAGCATGACGATGATAACTTTTTTTTCTTTTTTTGCGTCACTAGCGTTGACATCACTGAAGCCACCGACGCATGCATTTGATGAGGCACCTAATTGATTGATATGTGGGGTGTAACGTCATGAGGCACCTAAGGCTGTGTCGCTTTAGAACAATAACCATGGCGCTCAATGTGAAACGCAGCCATTCGCTAACCAAAACAGTGCCACACACACAAAAAAAACTTCGAAGTTTATGATTTCACAGCGAGGTGTCGGAGCTGGAGTTTCATTTAAAAATTTAGAGAATTAAAATTTTCGTACTCATCTTATTTTTCCAGCAGTACAACTCTTGTTTCCAGAATCGACAAGTACATATACAAGCGCCGACCAAATACTATCTCGAGCCTTACGACATGAGTGTTCGTATTAAATGGCCATTAAAGCAGGAATTCCATTACCTTAGTGTGGAAGCTGTGAAAGGGAGATTAGAAAAACCAGAGATGGAACATCGCAGTCGTAAACGCTCCAAAACAAAATGGGCCCCACTGTAAACTGGCTATGAAAAGAAAAAAAGTTTCCCTGAGTAGGCTGCCTTATTTTTTTTTTCTGAATCGAACTAAGCTTAACAAAAGTATTTCTTCATCAGTTCTGTGGAAGACAACAATAAAGAAAAAGTTAAAGCCGGGTGATCTTAAGCATTCCTTAAGTAAGCATATTGCCAACACGACGTGTTCCCGCAACTTCCTACGAAATTGCCCCAAAACAATACTGGCACTGGGACCTGCAGACTCTAGTAACGTACCTAAGGAGTAAAACAGGTATGCGAGTGCCGTTTCTGGGCAGAATTAGGTCAGCCGCTATCAAACGCGACCCGTCGTGCTGCCATCCTTTTTGTTAGTTTCACTTCACGTGTGTCACTCAATAAACGGAGATGGAAAAGAAAATGATAGGTGTAACCTTAAGGCACCAAAAGAGAACATAACGTATCAGGGAACAAACGGGTATTAAGTACACCATAGACAAAATCCAGAAAAAGAAATGGTCATGGGCCGGTCACGAAGAAAACATAAGCGCTTACCATTAAGGACCACAGACTGGATTTCATACAGAAGGCAAGCGGGTGAAGGGGAGACAGAAAGTTAGGTGGGCAGATGAGATTAAGAAGTTTGCGGGTATAAAGTGGCAAAAGCAAGCACAGGACCGAGTTGACTGGAGGAACAAGGGAGAGGCCTTTGTCCTACAGTGGGCGTTGTCAGACTGATGACAATCATGAGGATGATGATGATGATGACGATGATGATGATGATTGTGATGATATCAGACAAGAGATCTGTAGCTTGAATACGATGTGTTCTTCAAACTCTTTCCATCCTTTTTCACAATGGCATATGATGATAATATATGGCTGATACAGCTGGTCTCGAGTTAAATCATTTGTTAGTTTGCTTCTATATAAATGTGATGCAACTCGGAAGCAGTGTGAACTACAACCGGAAGCTATCACCGGGATGTGCTCAAGATTGGAATTGAATATGAAGCCGGGAATGTGTGGCAAAAGTCATGTGATACGGGGAAACTGAACGGGGCTGAACGGAAATTAGGTGTGACCCGGATATTAGGTAACGAACGCAGAGATATCACGGTAGGGGTCAGGTAGGTGCTGCACAAATGCATCATTACCTATCGCTCAATCAGAACTGAATATTTGTCCAAAATTTTCCTTCAACAGATTCCTCTATGTAACTTGAGTTAAATATCCACAACGAGCTGCCGCCGCTGAAGCTAGCGCACCGCCAAGAGGCGTGGCACTTGCGCTTCCATTAATTAACCTCGCACTTTAGGCGACTGCCAGTCCCACTGCTTAGTGAGGCTACTTCTTGCATGATATTAGCGATTTCTTGAATAGAACAGGGCACAACTTCGGAGATATTTGAAAAAAAAAATATATGCGTGGCAAGCAAAACCGAACACACTTCACGCGCTAGCACTAGGCTATGCGCAAGGTCACAGTATATTAACATGAATAGGCGAGGAGAATCCCGATAAGAAGCAATACGCAGAAAATCAATTTGAATAACCCGTTTGGTCTCCTACAGTGCATAATTGGGTGCCATGCTTCTAGTGTTTTTTGTTAACGTTAGAAAATAGAAGAACATTGACATTAATTTTGGGTGAACGCTGCAGTCAGGTGACCAAAAGTGCTCGGAAAACTACTTTGAAGATTTCTTTCTGAACTTCTTACGAAAATATTGCATTCAGCCTTGACATGCTTGCTTATTACATCGCTTTACGACTTTGTGCCTGCGTTCACCACGGGCGGTATAGCGGTTATACGGTGCACGGCTGCTGACCACTAAGGTCGCGGGTTCGATCCCTCAGCCTCTGTGGTCGCATTTCGATGGACACGCATTGGTACAGGCCCATGTCCTGTGAGGGTCAGTTCAAGTTAGAGAGCACCAGATAATATACATTTCAGGAGCCCTCCACTACGGCGTCCCTATAGTAACCATATTGTGGTTTTGGGACGTTAAATTACAAATTATTATATTATTATTATTATTGTGGTAAAGCCTTTGAACAGTGGGTCATCCTCTTCAGCGCCTTCTAGTGGGTCGCCCTTTTTCTTAAGAAGAAGAGCAGCTCGTGCAGAGAGTCGATCCCCGCATTGACTGTCGCTGTCGTGAATCATCGCTGAGTGTCCGTCAATAAACCGCTTAACAATTTGGTGGAGGTGCTGAGAGTGCTGTGCCCTTCAAACACCTTCGGTCAGCATTCGATGCCCTTGGAGCTTCGATCCCGTACCGTGCCTCCAACCATGTACCAAGACGCCGCCCAGCAAACCCTTCCTCCTACGTCGCCGCCATGTCCCGGTGTCCCCCGCATCCGCGACCCTCCTGTCTTCACCGGCGCGGATGGCACCGACGTCGAGGACTGGCTTGCCATGTACGAACGTGTGAGCGTCCCCAATCATTGGGATGAGGCAACTAAACTAGGTAACCTGTTCTTCTACCTTGCGGGTGTGGCCGGAATGTGGTACAATAACCACGCATCTGATTTCCCGACTTGGTCCGCTTTTAAAACCGCTGTCGTCGACGTGTTCGGCCGCCCTGCTGTTCGTAAGCTGCAAGCTGAACAGCGTTTACGTGAACGAGCCCAGCAGACCGGTGAGTCCTTCACAAGTTATATCGAGGACATCCTTGACTTGTGCAAGAAAGTCGACCCGAACATGTCCGAGGCTGACAAAATCACGCATGTTCTAAAAGGCATCGCCGACGATGCCTTCACCATGCTCCTGGCAAAGAACCCCCGCACTGTGGCAGAAGTCATCATGTTATGCCAAAGTTACGACGAGCTGCGGCGGCAGCGCTTGATGACCCGTCGTCCGCCACCACGTGATGCTGATCTCTCGGCCTTGTCAGCAGTTCCAGACCACGCAACCTTGCTCGCCGAAATCAAGTCGTTCGTGCGTGAGGAAGTTGCCCGCCAGGTCTCTCTACTGGCTTTTGCTTCCCCACAACAAGCTCAACAGCCATCAAGTACACTTCTACCTCCGCTCCGCCGAGCCATTCAGCAGGAAATCGCGGAGGTCGTCCCTGAATACCACCAGCCACCTCCTGCATCTGTGCCACTCAGCTACGCCCAAGTTGTTGCCAGGCCGCCCCCACCGATTTCTGTCACTGTTCCGCTAAATTACACCGAAACCGTCGCGAGGCCCCAGGCCTTTGGAGAACCTGTCTCGCCTACATACGCCGGCGTCACCCACATGCCCCGAGTGCCGCCTACCATGCACTCATATCAGCAGCCGGCTCGCCAATCGCGTTCTGCGACATGGATGCGACCAGCAAACCAATGGCGCACTGCTGATAATCGCCCCATCTGTTTTGCTTGCGGTTGCGTCGGTCATGTGGCACGATATTGCAATCGTGTGCAGCAACCGCAGGTCGCCTCCAACTTTCCCAGCCAGTCAAGACGCTCTTATGACCAACCGCCGCCTATGTCACCGTCGTCCCGCCCCGTTCCGTCTACCCGCCGTTCACCATCTCCACGACGTCGCTCACTGTCACCGATGCGGCCACGTCCACTCGAGGGCGACCAGTAAAACTAGTCGTCGCAGTCCACGAGGCAAGGGCTGCGACGCTGTCGAACTGCGGAAGCCCTCAGGAAAGCCCGTTGAACGTGATAGACAAGCTTGTGGATGGCGTTCGTGCATCTGCCCTTGTAGATACTGGAGCCGCCGTATCCGTGATGGACGAAAAAACTTTGCCGATTACTGCGCAAAGTGACCACGCCGCTTTACGGGCTCTCCCTCCGTACAGCCAGCACCCAAAGAATTCACCCTACAGCGATGTGCACAGCCCGCCTTATTATTCAGGACGTGATGTATGCGGTCGAATTCATCATAATTTCTTCATGCTCTCACGACGTCATCCTAGGATGGGATTTTCTCTCCCGCCACGACGCCGTCATTCATTGCGCACCAGCAGAAATAGAACTCGCGCCATTCTCTTCTTTGACGCCGGCCGACAGTCCATCCGCTGCAAGCAAGTTACTCGTCAGAGACGACACTCAAGTGCCTGCAAACTCGTCCGTTGCGGTGTCGCTCTACTGCGCAAGCCTTTCTGACACCGCTGCACTCCTCTCGCCATCTCATCGTGTTTTCATAAG